CTTAAATTCTATTTGAGAGGAAGTTGTTTTCTTCCTTTGATATTTGTCTGCTTCAGTAGAGACAAGTATATTAAACACTTAGCATTTACAATATATGCTTCTTTCAAGGATGGCTCATAAAAGATGTTGAATAATTTTAAGTTGAGATGAATTTACTGACTGAAAGAATGAGTGAAAACATTGAAGACCTAGACCTCATGGTAAAAAAGTCAGACTTTCCCTTTCCATCTCTATTTACTTCAACCCCTTCATACCACTCAACTTTCTCACAGTCTATATGAGTTCCTTATCTTACAGAAATTCTCTAAATATGGAACCAGGATTTCCCACCTTACTTTTAAATTGAGAAATTAATGCCAGGCACTTAAAAGCATAGCACTGAAAATGTTTCTCCTTTAATACATTTCTGTCTCTAGTTAAATGTTATTTATTCTAACTAAATTCACAATCTAAAGTTATCAAATCAACATTAATTGCTGGTATAATAGATATTATGTATATAAATGATTCAAAACAGCTTTTGTGTGCATTTGGAAGAAGTTATGGTATCTTAACTTTTAGAAATTTTAGAAATCATTTCCCTTTTTTGCTGATGAAACTATCAATGACTTTAACACATTCTAAGTTTCTGGCTATTACTTTGTGGATGTAAGAAGAAAACAGAAAAGATATACATAGTATTTTTCATTTCTTGAAAAGCATGCCAGTGCCTGAATTTCTTTCCCTACAACCAAAATTATAATACTATTCTTTGACATTAAACATTAAAAGAAAGAAATAAAATTAGGAAAGAGCTGGAGCAAAAGATGGATGACCCAAGACAGAAGAAAATGAAAGACAACATGCCTTTCTTTGTGTCATATTTAGTAAAATACCTATTGTACATAAAGTCAGCATGGTGTCTACTCAAAAGTACCTAGCAATTTAGTAAAAGTAAATGTTACTTTCTGCTTAATTTTGTCTTTCTAGCAAAATGAGAATGCAATATTGTTTAGTAGAAAATAGTTTTCCCAAGCATCACATTATTATGAACTAAATAGGATTTTAAAAATATTTCTCCATTTCCCTACTAAATTGCAATTTAGAATAAGGAAGTATTGTCAAACTCCTAAATAACCTCCTTTAGAAGTGTTAATATTAATAGATCATATAGGGGAAATAAAGATAGCTAGATGTAGGCTAAGACAAAACAGCATTTTGTTGAAAATAGAAAGAGTAAATTAAACGATAAGAGGGATTCTGTTAGGGCCTGGGAGTGGAGTTTGTGGATAATTCAAGCTCTGGGTTTCTCTTTCCTGGTCTGCTCTGGTTCCCACAGTGTTTATTAACATTCACAAGCCGCCTTTATGACACCTCCCCACCCCCATCCCCAAGGTCTTGGGCACACACATCCTCCTGTGTGGCCTCTACCACCCTGTCTAATGCCACTCTTGTAATTCCAGCCATGCCTGTTTCTCTCCCCTAAATTAACTCCTCTAGTTAGTATTTTTCTCTTTTGCTTCTTAGCTTCTCCAGCATATATATAGTGCTCAGTGGGCATTTATTTGGTTGTTGGAATTAAGATAGAATGAATGAAAGAATAGAGTTTATGAACATACAAACAATAAACCTGGTTTGTTGTTGTTGTTATGTGCCGTCGAGTCGCCTGCGACTCATAGCAACCCTATGTACAACAGCCCTAAACTCTGCTCTGTCCTGTGCCAGTCGCACTGTCTCTGACACTCCCATCCCAATTATCCCAGTCACTGAATCAATCCACCTCATAGAGGGCCTTCCTCTCCTGTGCTGTCCCTCCACCCTCCCAAGCATGATGTCCCTCTCCAAGGACCGGTCTCTCCTCACAACATGTCCAAAGTATGTTAGACGGAGCCTCAGAATCCTTGCCTCCAAGGAGCCACCTGGTTTAACCCTTTCCAGGACAAATCTGTTTCTTTTCCTAGCAGTCCATGGTATTCTCAATACTCTTCTCCAGCACCACAGCTCAAAGGCATCAATTCTCCTTCTGTCCTCCTTGGTCATTGTCCAGCTCTCTGATGCATAACAGGTGATTGTGAAGACCATGGCCTAGACGCACCCTAGTCTCCAAAGAGATACCATTGCTCTTCAGCACTTTGGAGAAGTCCCTAACAGCAGACTTTCCCATGGCAATGCGCCTTTTAATTTCCTGGCTGCTGGTGCCAAGACTGTTGACTATGGAGCCAAGCAAACTAAAGCTGTGTACAATCTCAATCTCTTCACCATCCATCCTGATGCTGCCAATTGGTCCAGTGGTGAGAATCTTTGTCTTCTTGACATTGAGCCTCAATCCATATTGTAGGCTGCAGTCCTTGACACTCTGCAGCAGGCACTTCAGGTCCTCCTCAGTTTCAGCAAGCAGGGTTGTGTCATCCGCATAACGCAGATTGTTGATAAATCGTCCACTAATCTTGACCCCACATTTCTCCTCATAGAGCCCCGCCTCCCGGATAATCTGTTCTGCATATAGGTTGAAAAGGTATGGAGATAGGATGCATCCCTGGCATACGCCCTTCCCAATTTTGAACCATGCACTGTTCCCTTGCTCTGTTCTGACGACTGCCTCCTGGTCCAAGTATAAGTTTCACATTAGAACAATCAAGTGTTCTGGGATTCCCATTCTTCGGGAAGAAGAAACCTGGTATAAATGAGGTAAATCTTATCTTGACGTACCTATGAGGTGTTATAAATGGTCAGAAAGAAGAAATAATTCTGCAGAGAATCACAAAATACATTGAGAAGCAGCATTTAAGAGTTTGTGATGTTTCTAGGCACAAGAAAATATGAATAAAATATAGATGCATTAAAATATTGGAAACAAATGTGAAATTTAAGTAATCTGATAAAGTTGCAGTGGAATGAAGCCTGAGAACAGTTTGGAGCCAGATTATATATCGCTTTGAATACTATAATGAAGGAAGGATGGTGTGTAACTTTGAAAAATAAGTTTTTTATCCATTGTGTTAGCCCTCTCTGGGAGCATGGTCTCCAGCTACTTCATCTATGGACATATGGTCTTGCAAATCATCAACAGTTGTAGGACTAATATAAGAGAGAACACTATCCACATTGTAAAGAGACTGTGGAAAGACTGTGGCAAGGTGTAGCCTGATCGAACCCTGGAGATGGAGCCAAAGGTTTTGCTTCTAGAGGACTGAATGAAGGAAGAGTTTATTTGTGACTGCTATGAAATAAAGCTTGCTAGATGATTGAGAAGATGAAAGGTTTATTTGTGCTGCTGAATTGAACCTAGACTTCCATTTATTGACTGAGAAGCTAATTATTGACTGTTTGAACTAATTGAGAAATTGTGTCTTGATGTTAATCTGGCTTGGAGCTGCTGTTCATTAAACCTAGACTTTAACTATGTGTTATCCTTTAAGTCTTTCACTCCCTAATGTATTTCGCTAATAAACTCCGCAACTAAGTAAAGCTTGTGAGTCAATTTGCAATGAACATTGGACCCAGTGATTTGTAAAAATAGGAACAGAAGCATGGGAGGGGGCATGTGAGCAACTGACCATGTGGCTATTTGTTTGATACTAGTATAGTATCAATGGGAACGGTTCCCTTTATGAAGTGGAAAAGAGACTCAGCCACTCCCATGTGATATCTCCTCCTTATACAAGTGACCTAGTGGTTCAGGACTTAGATGCTGAACCATCTGACTTTAGACAGACTTGTTAGCACCTAGGTCTCTTTTTCCTTATTTGCAAAATGGAAGTAGAATAACTCTGTTGCTGGTGCGAAACAGTAAATGGAAAAGAAAGGAGAAAGTCTGTTAGAGTAGAAAGAGAGTCTTTTGATCCAGTGCCTAAAACCATGCCTGCCTATAATGAGCATTCAGTGAATGGATGGATGGATGGCTTGTTCAAACAAAAGACACTGAATACCTAGGGAGTAGACTAGGACAGTGGTCACCAAGTTAAAATTGCTACTGATTACCAACTCAAAGCAGTTTGGAAAAGAGAAGTTTGAAAACTTAAACAATATATATACACACACACACACACACACACATATATATATACATACATATATATATATATATATTTAATGTATCGCAATAAATGTAGCAAATGTAGCAAAAGCTTGCCATTTTAGTAATTTTTTTGCATGTACCATTTGGTGACATTAGTCCCATTCACTATATAGTGCCTTCATTGCTATACATATAGGAAACAGAAACTATATCCCTTCAGTATTGACTTCTCTCTGCTCCCCTAAAGCTAACCACCAGTAACTATAAACTTTTTACTTTTGTGAATTTTTAAATTCCATATATTTCATCTAAGTGGAATTATAAAGTATTTACCCTTTTGTGTTTGACTTAATCATTTAGCATCATCTTTATAAAGTTCATCCATGTTGTAGCATGTATCAGAAGTCAGTGTATCTTTATGATTGAATAATATTCCATTGTATTATAAACCATAACTAATATACCAATATTAATACAGTATTACCTTGTATTACAGAAAACCCAACTTTGTTTATTCATTTATCTCTTAATAGACATTTGGGTTTTTTGTTTTCATCATTGTGAATAATGCTTAATTTATTTTATTGTGAATGTTGGTGTATGACTCCTGAATTCAACAATATGCCTAGGAATGGAATTGCTGAACTATTACTATTGCTGAACATAGTAATTCTTGTGTTTAGGTTTTGAGAACTCATACAGTTATTTTGCATAACAGTGCATATATTTTAACTTATTAGCATCTCTCTTCTATATGCCTATTGCAATTATTAATACAGATTGATTTAAAAGGATTATATAATCAGTAATATAACATAAAATTACTTTTATTAACAGAAGAGGAAATTTAAAAGGTTATTAAGTTAATACTTTGGAGAAATACAATGAATACCTGCAAAGGGAGGAATGAACACTTTTCCACTTTTTATGATGCTGTGTGTCACTACATCCAGTTGATTTTAAGGATGTTTCTAACATTTTTTTTCTTTTTTTTTCCCTTCAGCGGAACACTTTCCAGGCAGTTTTGGCATCTGACAAGTCTGATAGCTTTGCCATCTTTCTTTATCCTTCCAATGGCCTTCAGTTCTTTGGAACTCGTCCAAAACAGTCTTACAATGTCCAACTTGAACTTCCAGCCCGAGTAGGATTCTCGCGAGGGGAGACTGATGATCTGAAGAGAAAAGGAGCATATTTCAGATTGACCACAAATGAACAGTCTGTAAAAAACCTCTACCAGTAAGTAACATAAGGTTTCAACATTCTCCTGTTCGAATGCCAGGACCTTTAGAAGCTACTGAAACTTGATTAGCCACAAAGCAGTTAAAAAAACAATAATATCTTGGTGGGTTCTAAGCAAAGCATGAGGTCAACACAGAGATTAGACTTTGGAAGGATCAATTCCACCAAAACTTGTCTATTTTTTCTGCTCTGTCAGGACATAGCTACTAGAAAGAGAGCAGTGTATGCATGTGTGTTTATAAATCCTCTGAAGCATACTATGAAAAATATTGTTCTTGGAACCACATGAAAATATCTGGTAATATAACTTCCCAAATTGAGGCTTTTGAGATTAATCATTTCACAAGAAGGATACATTTTTAATTAGTCATTTGTATAGATATGTGTTAAGAATTAAATGAAAAGTAATACAATTTGCAAAAGAAAAACAAACAAAAAACTAACAAAAGATTGGTATACTTTTAGAAATCCTCTTTATTTCTTTATGACTTCATTACCTGCTGGTACTTTTTCCATGAGGTAGCCAGAATAGAAGACATTCGTCATTCTCATTCATGGCTTACTGTGTTGTTATGTGTCACCGTGTTGACTGTGACTCACGAGGACACTATGAACAGCAGATCTGAATCTTGCCCTACCCTGGATCATCCTCACAATCTCTCACATATTCAAGCCTGTTGTGGTAGTCACTGTATCAGTCCATCTTGTTGAGAGAGTCTTTCTCTTTTTCTCTACATTTCCCAGCATAATATGTTTTTCTAAGGACTGCTTCCTCTTGACAGCAATGCCCTAAGTGTATGATATTAAGTTTAACCAACCTTGGGAACACCTACTTATACTTCCTTCAAGTCAGATTTGTTTGTTCCTTTGTGAGTCTATGGGATACTCCGTATTCTTTCCCAATACTATAATTCAGAGGCACCAATTCTTCTGTCATATTTACTCATTGTCCGTTACATATGCATAAGAAGCCATTGAGAAGACCATGACTTTGATTAAGTACTCCTTAGTCTTTAAACTAACAGCATTGCTCTTTAGCACACTGGAGAGGTCCTACACAGCAAATTTTCTAATGAAGTAAGTCTTTTGACTACAGACATCTATTATTCTGCCATATTTACTCTTGACCGATTTTCAGATGCCTAAGAAATAACTGAAAATACTAAGACTTGGGTAAGGGAGTTCTGGTGGCTTAGTGGTAAGGAATTGTGTTGCCAACACAAAGGTACAAGGTTCGAATATACCAATTGCTTCATGGGAGAAAGATGGACAGTCTCCTCCCATGTGATTTATTGTCACAGGAGGGTCAGCTATGGGTTGGTTCTGACTTGACAAAAATAGCATGACCTGGATAAGGTACACTAAAATTATCGCTCTTTAGCACATTGAGATGTCCTAGGTAACAGATTTTCCTAACGTAACAAGTCTTTTGATTTCTTGCTGCTGTTACCATGAGTGTTGGTTGTGGATTCAAGTGAAATTAAATTGTTCATAACTTGTATATTTTCTCCATCTGTCATAATGTTATCTATTGGTCCAAGGATGAGGATTTTTGTTTTTTTTAGTGTTGAGATGTAGTCTATATTAAAGTCTATCGTCTTTGATCTTCTGCAATAAGTTCTTCAAGACTTCAATTTCTGCAAACAAGTTTGTGTAATCTGTGGATGCAGGTTGTTGGGGACTCTTCCTCCAATCCTGATGCCACATTAATTATTCTTCATATAGTCCAGCTTCTTAAATGATTTGCTTAGCATACAGTTTGAGTAGATGTGCAGAATGGATACAACCTTGATACACACCATTCCCATTTTTTTTATTAAACAAATGAGGCAATTTATTAAACCAGCATCATTTGTTGTAGTGTTTCGTGTTGGCACCTGCCACCTGTCCAGTGATTCTGTCCAGATCTCTCTGTCTCTGAGTATCAGTTTGTGGTCTCCATGTTGCACCTTCTCCTCTATTTTGAGCTCCTCAAGGCCTTGGAGGACACAGCGAGCCATGCTTTTGGAGCTTTGGTTGACGTGGAGGGGCATGATGGTCTATTGTTCCCCATAGATCATGGTCATGTAACCAACTCCAGCACTGCTCTGGAGGTACAGGAACTGCGCTATGGAAGCAGCCTGTATGCTGAACTAGTTCTTACTGTATGGCACAAGCTCATTATGCTTGGCCAACTTGACAGTGTCTAGTCATTCAGAGACTTTCAGCTTCCTGGACTTGGACTTTTTGAGAAAGGCTGCCAGAGCTCTCTGATGAACTCCTGCTGATTCATGTCTTTGACAGCAACTCCAAGCATCTGTGTCATCTGGATTGCTAGCCAGGGGAAAGGGCCATCCCTAATTTTAAACCACACAGCATTCTCTTGTTCTTTTGAAACAACTGCTTCTTGGTCTATGTACAAATTTTGCATAAACACACTTAAATGCTCTGGGGCTCTTACTCTTTTCAATGTTAACCATAATTTCTTATGATCTACAGAATCAAATGCCATTTCATAGTCACTAAAACACAAGGAAACATAGCTCTAATCTTGTCTGTTTTCAGCAAATATCCATCTGACATCAACAACAGTATCCCTCATAACAACCCCTCTTTAGAATATAGTTTGAATTTCTGGCAGTTCCCTGTCAATGTATTGATCAAGTAATTTTAAGGTAATCTTTAGCAAGATTTTACTTCTGTGTGATTTAATGATATTGTTCTATAATTTCCACATTCTGTTGGATCACTTTTTTTTTAAAGGAACAAATATTGATCCCTTCTGTTCAACTGGCTAGGTAGCTATCCTCCAAATTTCTTGGCATAGCCTAGTGAGTGTGCATAGAGCTGCATCTCTTTGTTGAAATAACTCAAATGGTATTCCATCAGTTCCTTGGTCCTTGTTCTTTGTCAATTCCTTCAGTGCAGCTGAAATTCTTCCTTAATTACCTTTGGTTCTTGATTATATTCTGCTTTCTGAAATGGTTCTGAATTGACCAATTTTTTTGGTATAGTAACTGTGTGCATTCCTTCCATTTTCTTTTGATGCTTCCTGCATCAATCAATATCATGCCCATAAAATCCTTCAGTATTTGCAACTCAAGGCATGAATTTGGTTTTCAGTTCTTCCAATTTAAGAAATGGCAATTGCAAGCATACATTAACAATTGGAACATAGAATGTACAAAGTATAAATCTAGGAAAACTGGATGTTGTAAAAAATAAAATGGAGTGCATAAAGATTGACATTGTAGGCATTAGTGAGATAGACTAATCCTGGGCATTTTGAATCAGACAATCAGATGATCTATTTCACTGGGAAAGACAGATTGAAGAGGAATAGTGTTAAAAGAGCATAGTAAAAGAAGAACATTTCAAGACCTATCCTGAAGTACATGTTATAAGTGATAGGATACTACCCATACAAATACAAAGAAGGCCTACTAGTACAACTATTGTTAATACAACTATGCACCAATCACTAAAACCAAAGATGAAGGAATTGAAGATGTCTACAGAGAACTCTGGTAGTCTAATGATAAGGAGTTGTTCTGCCAACCTAAAAGCAGTTGGTTCAAATCCACCAGCTGCTTCAAGGAAGAAAGATGAGCAGTCCTCTTCTGTGTAATTTATATCCTCTGAAAACCCACTAGATGGTCTGACCAACATTATGAGTCAGTTGAGAATTGATAGTACTTAACAACAATGAATATTTGTAATCTGAAATTAATCAGATGTGAAATCAAGATAATTATTAGTATAACCATAAACCTTTCCACTTTGTGCTAGACCAGGGATTAGTAGTACATCAGTTGATATTTCTTGATTTCCAGGGTTTTTTTCTGTATGTTTTCCTCTTATACATTTCCTGAATTCTGGTTGAGAAGCTACAAAGATGAGATTGTTTACTTCTTGCAACCAATGAAACTACTTGCAAGTTTCAACAAATCCTTCTTGAACCCCTTAAAATTGTGCTTACCATCTGTCTGCTCTGCGCAGCTCCTGGAGAGTAGGGTGTGACAGTAAGATCTGCCTTCCTAGAGTTGGTGTTTAATTGAGAATGAATTATTTGCCATATGCTAAAAATTTAAACATCAGAAGAATATTATCGTAATTAAATCTCGCAAGAATTCCAAGAGATAAATATTTCTATTTTCTCCATTTTACCAATGAGTGCAGGAACATTAGTAAATTTCCTATAATCTCAGAGTTATTAAGTGGCAACGCCAAAATTCAAGCATTAGTTTGGAGCTATGAAATAATTCTGATTTACCTACTCTTACATTTTAATTTTTAGATAGAACCTCTATTGAACCCTTGTCTCCTTTTCCATTCTAATAAACTACATTGAATATCCGTAGTGCTCCATGTAGGCTACCTTTCAGTCTAGACTGTAGAACAAATTTAGCTCTTTGCTTGCACCCCTTTGGTTTTTGTCTTTTTGAGCTCTAGAGACCTAGACAGACAAATGGATCATAAATATGGAGCATTGGAACACGTTGCAAAGGGTACTGGATGTTCTATGAACTTTAGTCCTGTAGGGAAAGGAGTTGTAGTTTCTAATAGAAGCAATGATGGTCTCTAAGAAAACACACCATGTCTATTTACTCACACACTTCCTCCATTTTTATCTTTGATGCCCTTGAATTGTTGATGAGAGGAGAATAATATGTATAAAAAAAATAGCTAGCACAAGGAAGAATTCAAGATACTAAAGAGCTGAACAGAAGATTCCAAAAGGCAGCACAGAATGACAAAGCAAAATATTACAATGAAATATGCGAGGAGCTAGAGTTGGAAAATCAAAGGGCCGAAGTCGTTCAGCATTTCTTAAGCTCAAGGAACTGAAGAACAAATTCAAACCTAGAGTTGCTATAATCAAGAATGCTTTAGGCAGAATATTAAGTGATCCAGGGAGTGTTTAAAGAAGATGGAAGGAATATACTGAGTCATTGTATGGATACCAATTGACGTATTTCAGCTAACAGATGCTGTCCTGCATGTGCTCACCAAGTTGTGCCAAGAAATCTGGAGAACAACCACTTGGCCAACTGACTGGAAGAGATCTAT